TATCATCGTTGCACTCGATGTGCCCGCCCCACCGTGTTCCATGCCCCGCCCACCGCACCCCGCGCAGTGGGCGCATCCTCCAACGCCTCAGCGCGGGGGCGGCCAGCAAGAGGGTTCCGTGCCCCGGCGCCCCGAAGATGAACGTCGACTGCGCGCGCCGCGCCGAGACGTAGTGTATCTGTAACTGTTTTTGTATCTACTCTCCCCCGTGTAAAACCTGAAGCATGAAAGCAGGCAAGTTTGAGAGGTTAAGAGATTGAGGGAGAATGCGTCTGTCTGGCGTGAGGCTCCATTCCAACGCTTCCAGTGTGGATGGAGCAGCCCTTTCGGTGCGGATGGGCTCCGAGGCTGGACCTCGAGTTTTTGCGTTTGGTTGTTGGCGACAAGTCGCCGCCGGACCCGACCCGGCTGTCCGTTGGCTGCTAAGGCATTAACCTTCGAAATCGTCTGCAGCGTGTGTGTTGAAATGTTGTTCGCTTGACCGACTAGTGCTTCACCACGTTTCTTCTCTTTCTACATAGCGTCCTAGATCTACTGATTGTTTGCGTTTGGTTTTTTTTTTGCATCTGTATGGTAATGTTTTTATTATTTCATTCATAGACGTTTTTGCAGTGTTACCGAGTTTAATGCGTGGTCTACGTCTCAATGTTAGAAAGTACCGTAGCTCTGGTGAGAAAGCGTTGCGTTTTTGACATCTTAGGTCTGTACGTTTTATTTTAGCATGGATTTGAATTTTTTGATATTTGCTCATGATCTTTGGGTACTACTGTTTTAAATGGTAGTTATTTGTTGTAATATGTGTAATTAGCAGTTTTCAAAGCAAAGCTAACCAATGTGTCAATCGTGTTGAGACTAGTGCATATGCCTGCTGCTAATGGTAAAGTGGCATAGAGTGGTTGAGTTTCAGGCGATTGGTTGCTCTAATGTAGCATTCTTCAATGATTTACAAAAATTAAAACTGAAAGAGAATTTTAATTGATGCGTTATTCATTCAGCGCATGTATAAATATCAAAAAGTATATCGAAAAAAAATGTATCTTGGGTTTCAATTGGAGGAATCATGTAAAAAAGCTTTTGCCTTTCAGTCTTGCTTTCTGGAATGTTTCTATTTTCTCTCTTCTCTAATTATCACTAGATGAGACGATTGCTGTTACCGATCCGCCGCCTCGCCCCAGAGCAACGGGTGTAATATATTTGAGAATGGCCAGCCTTGTTTGTTGCTATACTCTGTTACATTACTCACTGTCAACAAAGTGCACTTCCGCCATGTATAATTTTCTTTAATCGGCCCGTAACTGCTCTGAAAAGAGGCGTTTGAATTGCGGATCGGGGCGCTTCACTTCGCAAAGGTTTCCTTTACAATTTTTACTTTCTTAACGCATCTCTTGTCATTAAAGGAGATTTGGTGTTGAAATATTGTGGGTGCATTGCGAAATCTAAGATTTCTTGCATTGCCAAGCATTGTCTTGCTTTTTCTTATCAATTATTAAGATAAGGGTTGCCTCTTGCTTGGTGTCGGAAAATATTCGTTCTGGTTTGGACTGACGCATCTACAATGCACTGCTTGGGTTTAACGCGTGCGACTTGTCTTGCCTGCAGGTTTGCAATCGTAAATTCGATTCTCAGACGAATACTTCCTCTGAAGTGAACACATTATTAATTTATATACATTTTACTATTATGGCTTGCCTTTGATTTGTAACCGATGGCTAACTTTTTCCTAATATTTGCTTTCCGTGTCGCTTATCCACTGTTTCGTAGATTCGAAAAGCTTCTATTTACTTTAGTACTTCTTTTATTATACATTTTTATTCTCCTGACGGCAACATTAATCATTTTTTACGAAAATTTATTTCAGAACATTAATCTCCTTTCTGGCTTTTTTCCATCCTTATTCAACCCTTGTTAATTATTTTCTTTTCTTTTCTTCCCTTCTACCTTTCCTTCTTGTCTCCCTTTCAACATATTTCCTTTAGGTCTTTATTTCGCTTTCATTCTTTTTCTTTCATACTTGTTTCTTTTGACTCTTTCTTTTTTGTTATTGATTTTATTTTTATTCATCAATTGTTTTTTGTTTTTGGATCTACCACCATTAATTTTTTTTTCCCAATGTATATTTTGGTAAATTATGACATTTTAAATATATCCATGTATTATCAATGATATCTATTATGACAAATTCTTTTTGGGTGTTTTCTTTGTCATCATTTTCTTTTCTCATTTATAAATTTTAAGTTTTATATTTTTCAATCGAAAGGCTACTAACTTATCAAAAATAAGGTATTTCTACTCTCGTTCTCCCAGATATTCTCCGTAAGTATTTATCCTTTTAATTACACATCCACTGTAATCCTGTCTCTTTTTAACCCTCTCTTTTCCTCTTCACCGTCTCTTCTCCTGCCACACATCTCTCACTGAACTATCCGTTATGTTATTCCTCCTATTTCAATTTCTCTCTCTCTCTCTCTCTCTCTCTCTCTCACGCTCACTCAATTACTACATCACGTTCACGTGTCACATTCTGATCTACCTCTCTCATCTGCTCCTCACTGTCAGGGACTCACTCTGCCTCAACTCACTCGTCGGTCACGCTACACTGTCATCTCTCACTCACATCGTCTAACTCAACTCTCTCGTCTCTTCTCATCTTTCTCTGTGCTAGCTGCTCTCCGCTATTCTATTCACGTTTTCTTACTTGTCGTTCTCTCAGATCTCATAGGCACTTAATATCTTTGTGTTTAATTGAGTCTAAGTTTGGTCGGTCGTTTTGAGATGTTATGATTGGGTCATATAGCTATAGGCGTCTGGGGTACTGGCCCTTTCTCTGGGCATTGATCTTACTCTCGATTCGCTATTTTTCGTTTTTTATCTCTTCTTCTCTTTCTCTCTCTTTCTCTTTCGTGTTTCTCTATGTCTCTCATCTTTCCTCAACAGATTGCGATTCTGAGTGTCTATTTCTTCTGCTTGCATCTCTCTCATTTCTCCTCTCACGTCTCTTTCTCTCCTCTGTTTCTTTCTCTCTCTCACATCTTTCTCTTCTATCCTCTTTCTCTGTCATTTTTTGCTCTCTCTCTGCCATCTCTCCGTTTGTGCTGATTCACTCTCTCATCACACTGGCTTAGGTCTAGTTTAATCCTATCTAAGTGTTCCCTTAAGTCATGTTTTATTTTTGGGCTTTTGTTATTTCCCTGCATTTCATTTTACACTGTCTCTTCACCCTTAAATTGACTGACCTCGTCTACCCTCTCTCTCACTCTCCTTTCTCTACAGCCCTGCGGCGCGAGTGAGCGCCCCATTCCGAAGGCGCCTGGCGCGCAAATGGGAGGTGGGGCGGGGGCGGAGGGCGAGAGGCCCGGCGGGCGGAGGCAGTCGTCTGCAGGCGATGCCGCCCTGTTCGGTGTTCCCGCAGCTCGATCTCGCTCAGGAGGCGAACAAGAAGGCGGCGGCCG